ACAACAAGAAGTGGCAGATAGTTTGGAAGCCAAATTTTACAAATTCACTGACCGTGGCCACTTTCAGAAGACGGAGTTTCCCGAACTGATTGATGTGGTAAAGTCTATGCTGAAAGAGTCAGCACAAAAAGAATGATTTCTGCTATTCTGCATACCAATATAGTAGAGCAATGATCAGATTATAGGTAAATCATCAAAAATGCCTAAAAAACAAACACAAGTTTCAATGTTCAAACTAAGTTACAAGTAGCATTTCCATTTTCCATAGAATCTATCTCTTTCCAAATTGCTATGAATTAAAGCAGTATTTTCCTTATGATAAGGGACCTTAAGGACACGTTAACCATCCAAAGTGAGTAAGACACAAATGGAACCCAGGTTTCCTGATTTCCAGCCCAGATGAAAACTAAATAAATTTGATGTATAAGAGTTGTACTCCTCCTCTTTAAAGTAAAATTTGTTTTGTTGGAGAAAGAAAACATGACTAAAGGTCTAGAGCAGCCGTGGGCAAACTACGGCCCGCGGGCCAGATCCGGCCCGTTTGAAATGAATAAAACTAAAAAAAAAAAAAGACCGTACCCTTTTATGTAATGATGTTTACTTTGAATTTATATTAGTTCACACAAACACTCCATCCATGCTTTTGTTCCGGCCCTCCGGTCCAGTTTAAGAACCCATTGTGGCCCTCGAGTCAAAAAGTTTGCCCATCCCTGGTCTAGAGTGTTGGCTTAGAGCTCAAAACACTAGCTGCTGTTTTGAGCTGGCCCAAGATATTAAACCCAGACTAGGGCCTTCACCTTTGACACTTTGCCCCCCAACCCCCGGTCCTTCAAACAGGTTGAGACAATGAAATATAAGGATGCTATGAGGCAGGGATCTGCAAGGGTTAGGCAGGGAGTATGAGAAGTCAATTTTATTTGTGTAAGACCACAGTTGGGAGGATAAGGGCTATGTGGAGAACTCATGTCATGTGGGAATGTGTGGCCAAATTTCTGATTTTTTTGAGGAAAAAACTTTATACAATGGTTTTTATATTTAGGGAATATATATATGCATATATATATTCCATATGTACATATGGATTAGTTGGCAAGTACAGTATAAATAAAAAATTTACAAACAGTGCAACACACACAAAAGTCCAAGCCATCCATTTGTGGCCTCTACCATAATTATTAATTTAGCCAGGTGCCTTAAAAGATTCCCTATAAAGCCTGAGAAATGAACATAATGTCAAAAGATAAAATCATGGAAACAATTCGGATTTTGTTAGTCTTATTTTTTAAAATAATCCTTCCATTCCTCAAGTTTTTATTCTGTAGAGTTCTACTTTTTAACTCCCATGGTTCTTTAGATCTCTTTCATTTCCCATTTTTCTTCTGATCATGATATATATATAATTTAACCTTTTCATTTCTCAACAACTTTTGCCTATTACGATCCCTAAATGTTGCCTCAAACAATTATAGAAAGTACAACTGGACAGCACTGGAGTCTAGGGCATGTATTTTATATTCTTCCCTGACCCACCATCTAATATGACTCAACTTGAAATTACTTAACTAGTTTGCTTAGTTGGTTATCATAAAAATCATGGCTCCATAAAACTTACTCACCAAACTAAGATCAGAGAAGCTTCATGGAAGAATCCCACATAAACTATTCGTTTAAGTCCACAACCCGGGTATGTGCCCTGACTGGGAATCAAACCGTGACCCCCTGGTTCATAGGTCGACACTCAAACACTGAGTCAGGCATGCTGGGCAGAAACTTTATTTTATTTTATGTTTTTATTGATTTTAGAGAGGGAGAGGGAGAAAGATCGATGAGAAACATCAATAAGCCATCAAATCATAGATTCTCATGTTTGACTGTATATACTAGTAGCTCATTATTTTTTTTTTTTTAATATATTTTATTGACTTTTTACAGAGAGGAAGGGAGAGAGATAGAGAGTTAGAAACATCGATGAGAGAGAAACATCGATCAGCTGCCTCCTGCACATCTCCCACTGTGGATGTGCCCGCAACCAAGGTACATGCCCTTGACCGGAATCGAACCTGGGACCCTTCAGTCCGCAGGCCGACGCTCTATCCACTGAGCCAAACCGGTTTCGGCAGTAGCTCATTATTAACCATAGCAAGGCCTTGCCAGACTCCAGGGAATATCTATTCTCAGGTGAGCAAAATACCTTATATTAAATGAAAATCAACTGTAAGGATTAGTACTTCACTCACAACTTGTTTTGGTGTTGTCATGAGTATAGAACCCCACTATTTGTTTTGGTCAAAGTTTACTCCTGTACATAAATATACATTTATCATTGAAGGTGCTGTATTTTTAAATTGTCTCTTTTCTCCTTCAGTTAATTTTCAGAATTTAAAACATGCTATGAAAAAAATGTTTAAAGAGAATCTTTATTCTAGTGAGGCAAGGGATACTTTTATGTTTTAGCCATTGATTGTAAGCTTTAAAAATAAATCTTTGGAAAAAAAAAATCAAGACATAATGCAAAGTCTATATTTATAACTGGTTCCTGCTCTCCAATGCTAATTCTCCTCTAAGTTCAGTTTGCTTATTAAATAAGACTATGCCTCTGTGATAGGCCAGGTCCCAGGAAGGACAGATATTACCATCCCAACTCTCACTGGGGATAGAAGAGAAACCTGTAGTTTACAGGCTCCCAGATTCTATCTTATATATATCCAATACTTAAAGTGATATTTGTTTCAAAGAGCTAGTGTCATCTAATGCTAATTCTGTATAGTGGCCACAGAATTTGATTCTTAAAAATTGGTTATTGAACTGAATTTATTTTACTAATCCCATTTATTTCAAAATAACCCTTCTGGTTGTCCACTTAGCAGGACTGGGGAACCTTTTTTTTGCTAAGGGCCATATGGATATTTATAACATCATTCACTTAATATAAATTTGTTGATAAATTTACACTCCTAGATTTACTGAATTTTGAGTCCTCCCCATAATTGCCTTGGTAGGGCCACACCAAATGGTTTTGTGGACCTTATACAGCCCTCTTGCTGGATGTTCCCCACCCCTGACTTAAGAGTATCTCCAAACTAGTGTTTGAACTCAGGCCTCAGGAGTAGCTGGTATCACACTTTTGGCCTAGACACAGAAACTTTTTTATAAAATATATTTTTATTGATTTCAGAGAGGAAGGGAGAGAGATGGAAACATCAATGATGTCTCCAGCATGCTCCCGACTGGGGATTGAACCCGCAACCTGGGCATGAGCCCTGACTGGGAATCAAACCGTGACCTTTAGGTTGACACTCAAACACTGAGTCACACAGGCCAGGCACGTTTATGTTTTTATTGCTTTTAGAAAGGGAGAGGGAGAAACATAGATGAGAGCCATCAATCAGCCCCCCCTCTTCCCCCCCGGGGATCAAGCCTGCAACCTGGGCCTGTGCCCTTACTGGAAATTGAACTGGTGACCTCTCTGTGTATGGGGTGATGTTCAACCAACTTACACTGCCCCCAGGGCAACACAGAAACTTTTAAATGGAGTTAAAAGGGAAAATACAACAGCTGAGAACCTAAAAAGCCCTCCAGCTAACATCTGTGCAACACATTGAATACTAGTAAGCTAGTATTTTCTATGTCTAAAGAATGGAACTGAAAGTGGTATTAGAACTAAGGACAATGACAATGGCTTTCTGCTCAGTTTAGATATGAGTTTTAGAACAGAATAAGGAAAAGAAACAAGTCTAAAACAGGACAAGAACAGAAGAATGGTACCCCTTCCCAAAATAAAGTGTGAGTGCAGGGCAATGGATTATTTTTAGTTTTAATGTTACTTAAATAATAATATAGGAAAAATTCTATTAAATAATACAACTTAGCCACAGAGTGAACTTGTAAGACTTTAACAAAGAAGGTCTAGAGAAAAAAATCCTTTGGATGAGAATAATAATATTTATGGACTGAAAACATCCTTGACAATAGTCATCATTTAGGTTTGAGGTAAATGCAGTGGCATAATCCTCCAAAAGAATATTTTTTTTTCTTAAATATATTTTATTGGTTTTTTACAGAGAGGAAGGGAGAGGGATAGTTAGAAACATCGATGAAAGAGAAACATCGATCAGCTGCCTCCTGCACACCCCCTACTGGGGATGTGCCCACAACCAAGGTACATGCCCTTGACCGGAATCGAACCTGAGACCTTTCAGTCCGCAGGCCGACGCTCCATCCACAGAGCCAAACCGGTCAGGGCAGAACCTTTCTTTTTTTTTTAAAGACATTTTTATTGATTTCAGGGAGGAAGAGATAGAAACATAAATGATGAGAGAGAATCATTAATCAGCTGCCTCCTGCACGCCCCCTACTGGGGATTGAGCCTGCAACCCAGTCATGTGCCCTTGACCAGAATTGAACCTGGGACCCTTCAGTCCGCAGGCCAACACTCTATCCATTGAGCCAAACCAGCTAGGGCAAGAATATCTGACATAAAAAGGAACAGAATGTGGAAAAGGATGTTCCAACTATCCTCTCCATTCACACCCCAAGTTTGCACAGACTGGTCTGCTATTCCTGCCTTTCCTGTTTTAATTTCTTCTCAGTGGAACCATTGAGAAAACAGAAATGGTGATACTGAACCAGATATAAACAATCTCCAATGAAGACCTTAATAAATAGCTTCAAAACAAGCATTTTTAGGCTCTAGCCATTATCCATTGGTAAATATGCATTTGTTGGCTTCTTTTTTCTTGGACAGTCAAGTCTTGAAAGCTTGTCCTCCAGAACTTCAAAGTATTTTATTAAAGAATGGATTTCACTTACCTGCTTCATATTCTGGTGGCTACTCTACCAATATAAATTTAGTCTTCATAGATTTAAAAAATATATTTTCATAGCAGTAAGTCTGTATCCATTATTGTGAAGTTTGCTTTCAAGGGAATTTGATGTTCCATCATGAGTTAAATTACTTGCTCCCAAAGTAACTTCATTTGAAAGATGTCATATAAAGTTCCGCTCTCTATTAAAATTCAAGCCATTCTGTCATGTAAATACAGTTAGATGGTGAAATCTCACCACCTTCATGGCAGTCGTCAAAAACCTTTAAAACAGAAAAATGTTAATATTCAAACTGAAATTTTAAAAAAATTATTATACTAATAAAGTAAAATTAACTGTCAACTATATCTCAAATTTCTATTAAGGAATTATCCAAGACCCAACCATTTACGTAAAGCACTATTAAAAACAAAACTTTCAAACTGAAGGAGATTAGGTCTGTATTTAAGGACACATTGTAATTAGGCCTGCTCTGTGATCATAAAGTTACTCAATGGCAAACCTTTTACTACAGCATTAAGATGACCATGTTCACCTGCCCACTGGGGAAAAGGCTATCAGCGTGTACCACAGGAATACAAGGGAGATCTATACATAGGAATGACTTAGTTTTGACTAACCAAATGTTTCCCGTTTAGCTACTTTCCTTTTTGTGAAAGGTGCCGAAAAGAATTTCCAATATGCTAGCCTTTTTTCTAGTAATTGAAACCATGGCATAGAATGCTTAGATATATAGAAAAGGGCCAGTATCTATAATAATAAAAGCATAATATGCTAATTAGACCGGATATCCTTCCAGACGAAGCCAGGGCTGCAAGGGAAGCCTGGGTCCTGAGTACCAGAGGGAAGCCGGTGCCAGCAGCAGGGGGAAGGAAGGCCTACTCTTGCACGAATTTCATGCATCGGGTCTCTAGTAATGAAATAAAACACAGACTAGCAGCCCATGAATATAAATGCGATGAGGGCTGGAGCAGTCCCTATAGCACACAATTGGCACTCATAAACTATATGGGAATGAATGAATGAATAGTACTTGGGCATATTGCAGGGGACAGAACATTACCTCTGAGTTTGAATCCTGGTTGTTACTTCTAAGCTACATGCTCTTAGGTCTTTCTTAGCCTAAGTTCCCTCCTACTTAAGGGAAAATAACACCAGTAGCTCTCAAAGGGACATAAGGAGGATTAAATGAAATCACATAAATCTTCAAAACCACGTCTGACTATGGTACGTTCTCAACAAATCTCATCTCTCACACTACTTAGGTTAAATGATTAATAGTTGTCAAAAATTGTCCATTTTAGGGCTAAGAGCAGAAAACACAGATCTCTTATGTAAGGCAATGATTTGTTCATTAAATATCAAGATTACATGGAGGTTTGAGTAATTTTGGTCAACCCTGAGAGTCAGAGAACTGGGGTGTGCTTGCTGGTATGTTATGTGGCATTTGCACTTAGAGGTAGTCAAGTGTAACGTGAAGCCTCTTGAACTCACCGGGCAGAGTCCACAGGGAGCCCGGACCAAGCCCGTAGGTGGGATGATTGGATTGACTGCTCTGTACAGTTTCATGTGTCCGTCTACACTGCCAACTGTGCCTTCCTTTGCAGCGATGATAGTCATCTCCACTTTCCCATCATATATGAGTGTATTCAAGATGGTTTCAATGTCCTCCATGGACAACTCTACCTGTAAAGGGGATATATTAAAAAGGAAACAAAAAGGACAAAGACACATTCTTTTGGAGGGAGTTAAAAACAAGTCATCGAAAACACAAAGAGGCTGAACAATGATCCAAGTTAGCACAAACCACTCAAATGCTAGGGACAGAAATCTTACCTCAAACTGAGTTTGATATCTTTGCTCTTTAATGTAATACCTAGAAGTCTTATAAAGTCAAGTTTGGCAAGAACTGGATGGAGATTTATAAAATGCTTGAGCAGAAAGTACTTTAGACATAGAACAGTCTTTAGTCAAAATCACTAGTTTTTTTATAAGTGAAAAATCTGGGAAATGAAAAATGACTTGTCCAATTGTTCACTTCAATTTCTTCTTTGATCATGAAAAGCATTCAGCACAGTTTCCTTATGTATAGGACCTTATGTAAAGGTCTTCAAAAAATATGCCGATCCCATCATATTTCTCATAAGAAGGAAAATACCAATAAATGACAGCTGATGTGATGACTGTTTGGCACATACATTGAAATGTGCCTGAGAAAGTCAGAACAAACTTCTGAAAGTGAAGTGTACTACCAGGCTCTGCTCTGCTGCACTATCTCCCAAACCCAAATACACACAGTTCCGACAATGCCAATGGCAATGACCAACTTTGCCTAACAGGCTCAGGATAGTACTTTCTCAAAGTGTGTTCTGCAGAATATTCACAGGTTATCACCTGAAAAAAGGGTATGGGTCAAATATGTTTGGCATATACTGTAAACTATACCACTATGATAAATAAGTTTAAAAATAAGATTAAAATTAGAAACTGAGTTCTGACCTTACTGATCCCCAATTCACAGATATATTTCCATACTTCGTGTGATGAAGCAAATGAACTATTTCTTTGTATCATTGGATTCTGTTTGCTTTCTCGGGCTGTTTCTGCCTATAAGGATAGACACATAAATCTCAGCAAGAACACTACTGTTTTCTGAATACAATTTATACAAAGTGAAATCAACAGAACATATTTTGTTAAGTAAAAATTACCAATTTAATGCCTATAAAACAAGACCTACAAAATTAAACATTATGAAGGAACTTAAAAAGAAATGATTGTTTACTCAATTATGCCTTACCTTGGTTTGTAGGAACTTAAAACACTGTTGGTTAAGCACCTCTACAAATTCAGATTCAAAATCCTGGTCACTGTACCAGGCTTCACCAGTCACAGACTAGTCAGGCTGCAGGTTGTGAAGCATATACACCTTTTTTGTTTTGAGCTAGGAAAAAGCATGCACAGAAGATGTGCTTATAAGCTAATTCCCCAAAACTAGATTTGAGAAAAGCTCAAAACATTGTATTTTAGAGTTTTAGATTCACAGAATTATTGTGAAAATGGTATAGAATTCCATTTACCTTGTGATGTTTCCCCTATTATTAGCATCTTACATTAATAGGGTATATTTGTTACAACAAACCAATATTGATATATTATTATGAACTAAAATCTACACTTTGTTCATATTTCCTTAGTTTTTCCATAATGTCATTTTTTCTGGTCCATTTTTCTCCCCAAGATACCACATTAGATTTAGTTGTCATGTCTTCTAGGCAAATTTTAGTTGTGACAGTTTTTAAGTGTTATTATCGATGAACTTGCCAGTTTTGAGAATTACTGGTCAGGTATTCTGTAGGATGCCCTTAACTGGGATTTGATCTGATGTTTTTCTGATGATTAGACTGGAAGAAAGATCACAGAGATCAAATGACCTTCTTATCACATCATATCAAGGGTATCTGATTGTCACCAAGTGATGATTGTCCTCAATATGACTTATCAGTGTTGACATTAACCTTAATCACCTGGCTAAAGGTACACTGTAGTTACTTTTTCCCCTGCCCTTTCCTTGGAAGAAAGTTACCATGCATCACCCACAATTAAGGATTAGGAATTATGCTCTACTCTCTTTAGGGTGGAGTGTCTATATAAATTTGGAATTCTTCTGTATGGATTTGTCTGATCTGTCCCATTTATTTATTCAAACATCTACCGGTATGGACTTAGGAATATTTATACTACTTGGTTTGCAACCTTGAAAATATCATGCTAAGTGAAAGAAGCCAGACCCAAAAAACCACACATATGATTCCATTTATAGGAAATGTCCAGAAAAGGCAAATCTATAGAGATAGAACATACATTAGTGGTTGTCAGGGCCTTGGGACAAGGAGGTTGGGGAGTGACTGCTAGTGAGGTCACATGTTGGGGTGAGGAAAATGTTTTAAAATTAGAAGAGTGTGATGGCTGCACAATCCTGTGAGTACACTAAAACCCAATGAATCATACCCTTTAAGAGAATTAATTTTGTAATATGTAAATATCTCAATAAAGCTATTAAAAATACAGATATAGGAGAATTGTAGAAATGAAGCTAGGAGATGGGTATGTGGGGATTCATTATATTATTTTCTTTACTTCTGTATATACTGGAACTTACCTATTAAAAATGTGAAACAGAAATAATATTCTAACTTAGGGAGTGGTATGACATAAATATCATTTATAAATAAAATCAAATGAATTATCAAATCATTTTTCTTTGGCCTGATGTTTTTTATTCACCTGATGTTTTTTTATTTTATTTAATTTTTCAATTACAGTTGACATTCAATATTATTTTATATTTGTTTCAGGTGTACAGCCTTGTGGTTAGATAATCATATACCCTACAAGTGATCCCCCGATATTTCAAGTACCCACCTGGCATCATACATAGTTATTACATTATTGACTATATTCCCTATACCAGTGGTTGGCAAACTGCGGCTCGGCAAACCACGCTCGCAAGGCACATGCGGCTCTTTGGCCCCTTCAGTGTGGCTCTTCCACAAAATACCGACTTCTGCGCATGGGCCACGAAGTTTCAATTGCATTGTATGTGCGCACCCGCACGTGTTATTTTTTGGAAGAGCCACACTGAAGAGGCCAAAGAGCCGCATGTGGCTCGCGAGCCGCGGTTTGCCAACCACGGCCCTATACTATACTTTACATTTCTGTGATTATTTTGTAACTATCAATCTGTTCTTCTTAATCCCTTTTCCTTTTCACCCAGTCCCCCAAACTCCCTCCCCTCTAGCAACCATCAATTTGTTCTCTGTATCTGTGAGTCCGTTTCAGTTTTATTTATTCATGTATTTTGTTCTTTATTTTTTTTTTTACGTATTTTGTTCTTTAGATTCCACATATAAGTACAATCATATATTTGTCTTTATCTGACTTCTTTCACTTAGCATAATACTCTCTAGGTCTGTCCCAAATGGTAAGATTCTATTCTTATAATGGCAATTATTCCATTATATATATTACCACTGTTTTTTTGTTTTTAGTTTTTTAATATATTTTATTGATTTTTTACAGAGAGGAAGGGAGAGGGATAGAGAGTGAGAAACATCGATGAGAGAGAAACATCGATCAGCCGCCTCCTGAACACAGCCCACTGGGTATGTGCCCACAACCAAGGTACATGCCCTTGACCGGAACCGAACCCGGGACCCTTGGGTCCGCAGGCCGACGCTTCATCCACTGAGCCAAACCGGTCAGGGCTACCACTGTTTTTTTATCGACTCGTCTACCTAGGTTGCTTCCATATCTTTGCTATTATAAATAATGCAATGAGCATAGGGGTGCATATATTCTTTTGAATTAGTGTTTTTGGTTTCTTCGGATATATACCCAGAAGTAGAATTGCTGGATCATAAGGCAGTTCCATTTTTTAATTTTTAGAGGAACCTCTCTAGTGTTTTCCATAGTGCCTGCATCAATTTGCATGAATATTAAATTCTTATATGTTGAAATATGTGTTCAAGCAAACTTTAATATAGGGGAATTTTGGCTCCTCTGATACTAAAATCAGTGAGGTCAGCAGCAGATGTCCCTGATGGACACAGCTCTGGAGCATAGAGCCCCTGAAGGATGTGATGGGTAGGGTGGGATGAGGAGGAGAAACACTATGTGCTAGAAGAGATGATCCACCAAGGCAGAGATCTTTCTCTGACTTATTCACTAATGTATCGCAAGCACCCAGAACAGTGCCTGACACATAGCAAGCACATGTAGATATTTGTTCAATGAGTAATCTAATATACCAGGATGAATTAAATTCTTACACATCACAAAATCCAGGAAAAATGTTCAAGATTCCAAAAATTCTCTCCTGAATAGAGTAAATTAGCTTTAGATTTTTGAGTGGGTAAGAAGTTACATATCTAAGTAGCATCTCCAAACCAATTATGAGCTAAATTTTAAAAAAATCTTGTTTTGATCAGTTGTTTTAAATCACAACACAGCTTAAAGAACAATAAAAACCTGAAATATAGTTGGAGCAATATATATAATAAACATTTGGAAGAAAAGAGAAAATTACTCACTGCTACAGACTTAACAGCTTTGATAAGCTTTTTACTTTTCCAAATTCTTAAAAATTTTGTTAATTTCTGTTAATGGCAAATTACTTTTATACCGGATGTCTCTGCTCCATATTCCTATAAGAAAGTAAAGTAAAATAAGTTGAAAACTATAGGATTTATGTTTATAATCCCATTGCTTATATCTCATACCAAAACCAGCAAAAATAGGTATCTATATATTGCTAGGGCATAGCTATTGGAAAAATTAAGTGTCATAGAGGCAAGAATCTCACATAAAGTAACAAAAATATTAAAACAATATATGTTATATGTTCTAGTTTATATAGAAATTTCTTAGAATCCTAGTGTGAACCAAAAGTAGGTTTACAGTTGTTCATATGGAAAATAATACAATAATTAATGAACAATATAAGAATACACCGTTTCGCATACTCACAATTGTAAA